TTGGATTGGCTGCGGTGGGCCAAAATAATGGCCACCAAGGTCCCCAGACCTCAACAGTTTAGATTTCTTTTTGTGGGGCTATCTTAAGACACTAGTGTACACAAGTCCCATTAACACTGTAGAGGAATTAAGACAAAGAATAGTTGCAACTTGTGATAGAATAAAGAACACTCCAGGGATATTTCAACGAGTGCGCAATTCCACGAAAAGGAGGGCGGAAGCATGCATACTAAGCCATTTTTGACAATTTTTGTAATCATTTCGTTGGTTTTGATGTTATGTTTATATTGTCGGTTGTTGTTGTTCATTACCCCTAATGTGTTTAATTTTTCCAATTAAATTAATGATAATTTTGCAAGTTAGACAATAGAACGGTTTTTATTTTTTTTACTCAAAAATGGCACATGATAGGAAAACAATTTAGGAGAGATCGTTTGTTTAACATTGAACGGGGAATTCAAAAATAATTTTTATTTGGCAAAAAACCATTGGCGTACTATTTGTTTCTTTAAAAATGTCGAAGTCAATACCCGCACGCACGCCACTGTTAAAGCAACATTTTTTTGCATTAAAAAATATGCAACTTTATTAACTTTCACTACGTACTAAATATCAGTGAACTATCTGAAGCGGTTCTGCAAATATTAATTCATTTCCATTTTTTTCCTAAAACTTCAACACGAGTTTTTGCAAGGGAACATTTTTGGACCATAGTTTATAAAGCAAACTAATATTAATTTTTCCTGTAGATTCACACCCTCAAATATTCGCATATCATTAAAGGAACGCCCTGTATAATAATAAAAAAAGGTTCCTTTCTCCTCGGGAGCAATGAAAAGCAGAATACTATACCTCAAATCCATCTGTATATGGAAGATATATGACCCACCAACACTTGATATGATATTTTGCAGCGCAAAGATAGCTTTATTATTGAAATTCCAAAATGATATAAATCCAAGTTGGAAAACAAACTTCCAGTTCGGCACTTGAAGATCGAAGTGGCGCGGAAGTTGCGCTACTTTGAACTCGTACATCACTGCTTTGACAGTTTCCAGTGTATATAGATAAGTATAGGTGGATGAGGTGTAAACATGTACACAGGGCACGTCATTCCTCATTAAGCTTTTGAACAGTGAGGATCGGGTGAATATTAATGTCCTTTAGTTGAACGACCTTAGATTTGAACCTCAGAACCGGGTTCTAATGGATGGGTTTATGGAGTTTTTTGTGGAAGCCTTAAGAAGCTCACCCATCAATTTTGGTCACCTTAGATTTTTTTTTAATTCGTGTTATATGTATACGGTTATTCAAGTGTTCAACAACCTCGGCCTAGCCTAGGTCTCATCAAAGTAAATAAAAATGGTCACATGAACTTATCAATTTTTGGGCTTTGTTCCTAAGATACAGGCTGCACAGGTCCATTTCTTCTCATACTAGTATTTTTCATTTCTTTTATGCACTTGAGCGACTTAGATGAAACTGTTCTAGCCGATGGTAAGTAATACTTCTCAAAAAAGGCTCCTATAAACATATGTACTAAGAGGTTCCTTTGTCAAGGTACGGCTTTGAGGAATAATGAATAAGGAAAAAACATGAATACTTTTCAAATAGCGATATGGTAAACAAATACACTACAAACAGTTTTCATTGCCCTACTTCTCTAATATTCCTTGTCAATAATCGCCCTAATCCCTAATCCTGATCAAAGTACCGTGATGAAATCCCTTCTTAGATCGACAATTTCTTCAGGAATGTATTCAACTGAATTTCTTGAAGGCCATTCTGAATATGGTTAGCGGTGTTTACATCAATGGACAAATTTATGAATTATTACACAGTGCTGCCAACCATATAACAAACTGTTGTGTATTGTGGTTTTGATTTTGTTGGATACTGTAGTTCTACCAAAATTCTAGCTTAAATTGAAAGTTGTTCAATACACTAGAAAGCAGGACAAGGCTGGCACCATGGAATCTGACCTGAACAAGTTCTAATTTCGTGAAAAAATCACGAAGACCTTTATTTATTTGACGTCAAATTTCTGTTTCTCACTTTTTAAATTTGGCCACGAACTCAATTCAATCGTTCGTGAAATATATGCCACCACCTGTCCATAAAAAAGGTGATGTAAAAAGTATAAATAACTATAGACCAATATCTGTCATCATAATTATAGCTAAAATATTTGAGAAAACCTTGAAAAATAGGCTAGTTAATTTTTTTGACAAATGCAAATATCTTTCAGATAAGCAGTTCGGTTTTCGAGAGGGAATATCAACCAAAGATGCAATTGCTAAGTTAACAGAAGAGATTAGAAAAAGAATTGAGGACACCGGTACTGTGCGTATTCGTGGATCTTGCCAAGGCCTTCGACACTGTGAATCACCAGCAGATGTTGGAGACCTTGGAGGATGCAGGAGTACGAGGCGGACCTTTACAGTTGTTTACAAGCTATCTCTCAAATCGAAAACAAGTAGTGAAGATTAGTGACACATTCAGTAATGAAAAGACAGTTGGTTACGGTTTACCTCAGGGTACTGTGTTGGGTCCAATCTTGTTTACAATTTACATAAACACCATTCTAACTTCTTCGCCAGTTGGTCAAGTGCTAAGCTTTGCAGATGATACGGCAGTCCTGTATGATTATAACACTTGGGGAAATGTAACAATTAAAGCAGAGCGGAATCTAAGGACTATTTTTGATTATTTTGCTCATAAACTTTTAACCGTGAGCTATGAGAAAACATCCGTTATGCCTTTTTCTAATACAGTACATTGTCTACCTCAGTTTGAACAACTCAACTTTTAATAAATCAAAGTATATCTTTAACATCTGTGAAAACCTATAAATACTTAGGTGTCACCATTGATCGCCACTTGAGATGGGATGTTCATATAGCTAACATTACAAACACCTTATAGCTGTTATATCGCTTTAAATAATTTAAAACATCTCATAGACTACATGCACTTGAAAAATGTTGTAGTTTTCAGTAGTTGAATCACGTCTACGGTACGCTATTTTGAGTTGGGGAAGTGCCGCCTATTGACATTTGCAGCCTCTGGATATACTGCAAAAAAGAATGTTGAAAGTAATATCTGGCAAAAAAATTACTTATCCTTCTGATAAATTATTTCCAGAGACTGGAGTGTTTGACATAAGGCAACTGTTTCTGCATGAATTAATTCAATTCATATACAAACACAAAAACAACTTCAATAAAACTAGCCATGCTTATAGTACTAGATATAAAGAAAATGAAAACTTAAAAATACAAACTTTTCAAAGAAATGTAAGCTTGCGATGCCACACCTACCTATCATGTAAAATTTATAATTGTGTGCCATACATGTATCATATGTATGTTGATAAATTGAACTCATTGTCTTTGATAAAATCTTTATTCAAAAAATATATTTTTTTAATTGATAGACAAGAGACACGAAATCTAGTAGAAATTCTTTACTAGAAATCGTACTGCGCTAGTATTACCTTTCCCCACCCTCCATATTTCTGTAGTTAGTTGAATAAACTTTATTATATAAGTGTTACCTTCCATACTTACAATGTGCTTTTTGTATAAAATCCTGCTCTAAGCAAACTTTATTATCAAAATTATATAAAAAAAAATCTGCCCGTGCACAACCAACTATTTTGGTTTCAATGGGCTTTACAAGACAATTCAAAAAATTTCTGTTACTCATAAAACATGTTAACTTAAGATTATTTTGTGAATGTCCGGTATTATGTTTTATTTTACGTTTATTATTATACTGAAGTTAGCATTTGTATTTATTAACACATTGTATTTTGGGGGAAAAAGATAAACGTATACTACTACTACTAATGAAGATCCGAGGAAATTGAAAAAATCTGAAACGATTGAAGTATCTCCAGAGTGATTTAAGAAATCTGAGAGGGAAGGTATTTTGTTTCGATAACGGCCTATTGGTTAACACCTCAATTTTGGAGCTCAGTATATGCCATTTGAAGACTGCGTTTGTTTAGATTGTTAACAATAGCAAATCGAGTTCCTGAGTTTTGCTCTATATACCAACGTTCTTGTGCCTCGCTTTCCCTTCGGCCTATTCGCTATTCCCCAGCAATTCGGTAATTTGATAATAAATTGAATAAGGCCTAAAGCCAAAGATTGGTCGAACTTTCAGCGATAATAGGGAGGGTAGGTGAGAGCTGAATTTTCAACAGTAAATTCAGTTTACTTAACTTTTAATGAGACCATCTTTTCATCCGGAGAGAAAATTTATTTTCTGTCTTTGCGACCTTTCTCTTCCTTTCATTCATTATTAACAACACCCCAAGGTGTAGACGACCCGGCTCATTGATCAGTTGACAGCTAAAGGAACTTTGGACTTTTATCAGATTCTGAAGTAACAAACACCTACCCAGATTGACACGCGAAAAAGAATCTTCTTTGTCAAACGCAATGACCTTCAATTTATGAAATCGTGAATTTTTCCTTAAATCATGCAAATCATGAAAAGGATCGGTAACAAAAATTCGCGAATGCAATGTTTATCGGTGCTTTTTCACGTATATCTCAAAAAGTTTTGTAGTTGGTAAAATATAAAAAGCGTATTAAATATGCAACAGCGTATTTGTTTAGTGAACAACAACTTGAGAGAAAGGAAAAGTGGGCGCCGGCGGGATTTGAACCAGCATCTCCTCCACTCCGTGGAGCCGATCTATCCAATTAGTCTACAGCACCAGCTGCCAATCAACTTTCAGGATCGACTGTTAGAGGCGAATTCAAACCTACCCACGCCACTGTTCCTTTGTCCTTTCAAGCTGTTTGATGTTCAATTGCAGCATACCGAATCGGTAAGGTATCTCCAATCGCTTTCTTGCTCCACCACGCTGCCTCGTTGGCACTTACCTCGGTATCACCGTGCGAGGACAGTAACACTATATAAGATTTTTCAGATGAGTGCGTCCGCAGCAGCGTGTTTGCTTAGTAAGCTTGAGAGGAAGGAACAGTGAGCGCAGGCGGGATTCGAACCCGAATCTCCTCCACTCCGTGGAGCCGATCTATCCAATTAGTCTACAGCACCAGCTGCCAACCAACTTTCAGGATCGACTGTTAGAGGCGAATTCAATCCTACCCACGCCACTGTTCTTTTGTTCTTTCAAGCTGCTTGATGCCCCATCTAGCGGCGTTCAAGTGCAGCCTACTAAATCGCTAAGGTATCTCCACTCGCTTTCTTGTTCCACCACGCCTCCTCGTTGGCACTTACCACGGTATCACCGTGCGACGACAGTATCCAATGTACGACTTTTCAGATGAGCGCTTCCGCAACAGCGAGTTTGCTTGTTCTTTCAAGCTGCTTGATGCCTCATCTAGCGGCGTTCAAGTGCAGCCTACTAAATCGCTAAGGTATCTCCAATCGCTTTCTTGTTCCGCCACGCCTCCTCGTTGGCACTTACCACGGTATCACCGTGCGACGACAGTATCCAATGTACGACTTTTCAGATGAGCGCTTCCGCAACAGCGCGTCCCTCCTCATTTCTGGTTATGATCACTAAGTCGTCAGTGAATGCTAAGCATGTGTTTCTTATGATATAGCAGTCCTTATCTGTTTATTTTCTAATCTCCTGTAATCTGTTCAAGACATAGTCTGAACGGGACTGGTGAAAGTGGGTCTCCTTGTCTGACTCCTTCTCTAACAACAAAACAATCTGATAATTCGTCTGATTTTGTTTTGTCTTCTTCATTAATGTATCTATTATTCTTGAGTGTTTCCCAGTAATATCAAGGCCTCAATCATTTTCTTACGGTTTACGCCTCACGTGCTCGTAGCTTTCTGCCTGCATTTTTGGTAGTACGAAAATTTGGTCTATCGCACTTCTTCCTGATCTTAGAATCATTCGGAAGGAATAATCAAACGCTACCACCAAAGAAATTTACTGCCACCAAAATTGTACGAAAAAATTACCTCTTCCCTGGCCTATAGTAAGATTTTCGGTGAGCTTCTGTGAATTATAGGGAGATCTCCTAAAGGACAGGGATGCAATAAGAACTTTTTCCCTTATTGTACGAGTTTCTGGCAGCGCCAGCGGTTGACCCCTCGTATTCCAACAAAATCAGTTAACAGCATCTCAGTGAACCGTATCATTATGTTGGAAGCATAGCAAAATATGACGTTCATTAAAATAGAGAATATCGAGTTACTCGCTATCATTCAATCATGGATATCGGTCTATTATACCCTTCATAACATAACAACGTACCCAACGAGAGATATATGAATGTGCCTCTAGAATAGATGCTATCAGATGGTTGTTAATAAAGATATCCCAGACGTGAGTATGATGGCATCCCCGCTAACGAAGTGGTGCTAAAACATTTATGATTTACGTGGGACATAGTTAATATAACGATCCTTCAAAGGGTTTGTGCACCTGAATAACGAGTTATATCATCACTTGATGCACCTAGTCTCCAAATATCATATACGTATCCTGATAACAATCGGGATTCAGTGAAGGGCACAGCACAACAACCATTCAGGGCTGTGAATTAAGTTTGAATTTCTTTCAGTGCTATATTACTGGTACTCAGAGGGAAATTTTAAGAAATAATTTTTCTGGAGTAGGGTCTGTCCTAGGCCCTTTGCTTCTCACCATATATACCTCAGACATAATTAAAGTAGTTAAACACTATAATGTTATGATGATACCCAGATATATACACCTCTTGATCCTCAAAAATACGAATAAAAAATTTATACTTGAACCACCACGAAGGTCTAAAGCCTAAACACCGATAGGTACCGTGGGGCTATTGGGGATTCAGGGAAAATGGGGGACGCCACAGGGACTGTAGCGAGGGAACACGTGACCAAGCAACATGCACACATTCTGACCCCGCCTTAGAGATCCGCCGGGTGGTACCTCCACGTTCGACAGTCAGAGACCGTCTACCACCTTTCGTATAATCACAACATCCATAGCCAAAGAAAAAATTATCATGGGACGGGATTCCAGCCCGCGCATACTATCAAATATTATGTGTTTGAAGTTATAGCACTTGTACAAAACTCAAATTTATTAATCAATAATAAAAAAAATTTTACCTTGTGACGTAGACTACAAGGTAAGTTTTTCGGAACTTATTATCTCGGATATTTTGGGGCTTTGGTGTATGTGTTACTAGGAAAACGCGCTTATTGTTGCATAACCTATACGTTCTGTGAAGAAAAGTTCCAATTTCAAGGACGCCCGTATTTTCAAAGTCCCTTCTCACAATGTAAAGCACGCCAATGCTCCCGGCCTAGCCCTCCATGGTTGCTTTTATACTAAACATTATTTCAGGGAGCTGCTTTTGACACTGCTTGCTATGTAGACGTCAGCGCGCTATTTTTATGTGCCACGCTATGGAAATAAATGAACCGAAAAACAGCGTATCATGTTTTTGTCAATTTGTCTAATGCAATCGCCGCTGCCGACGGTGACTGTTACGCTGTCGCAAGAATTTTGAAAAACCCGCTTTTTTATCACAGATAAAAAAATTTCACTATCGTCCTGAGAAATCGCCGCTGTTTACCGCATTCCTGTGAGAAGTTACACCAAATAATGAATATGTTCATACACGTAGTAATTTCTACTTGTTGGACACAGAAATAATTGTCACTGCCGTTAGACTCTCTATCATCTTTTAATAAAGGGTGTTTCAATAAGGATGCAATATTTCAAGGTTCTATTAAACATGGTATTTCGTAACAAACAACTGAAATATTTATTGGATTATGGAATTATCTGTGGAAGAACACATCAGGTAAATGGCTGCCACGGCTCCGCTGGCACATGCGCACTCTTTTAATAAAATTTGTGGTAACATTTTTGTCGTGGTATCTCGTTGATACAGCGTCTGATTTCAGCTTTCAATGCTTCGGTGGGGTGGTTGCGGGCCTATTAGCATAAACTTGTGACTTCAGATAACCCCAAAGCCAAAAGTCCAAAGGTGTTGAATCGCAAGAGCGTGGCGGCCAATTCTGGTCCCCAAACCGGGAGATGACTCGACCAGGAGCAAACTCGTGCAAAACTGCCAATGTTTCATAAACAGTATGGCATGTGGCATCATCCTGCTGAAACCATATGTCATTAAGAGCCATGACTTCAAATTGTGATTTTAATTTTAAAATTAACACTCACGACAGGCATTCCAACGTGATGTGTGATATTTGTGTTTCTTTTGGACTGTATCAGACTGTGAATGTGAATACTAGGTAGAATGCTTGTCTAGATAATATTTTCATTAATATAAACATGTCAAGCATAGTTGTAGAAGCCTTTGATATATTATGTTTTTCTGACCATTTTAATTTGAAAACTCTAAAACCTGTTCGGAAGAGAATAAACTACAGGCCTGTCACTAATGACGGTCTTTTCAAATTAAAACAGTCGACTGGATCTTTTTGTCTGATACTAGTTTATCGCTGACCACTACACTCGAACGATTCATAAACATCTTAACAAATAATGTCTCTGAGTGCTTGCCAATTAAACCTAGGTTAGTATCAGACGGTTGTCGAAACAAAGTCAACTGGTGTCATCACGAATTGGCTCAGATGAGCGAGAATTTGAAACTAATAACACAAATTAATAAAGATTATCCCCAGGTAGTATCAAAGAAAGAGATTAATCTATTCAAATCTAAGTACCAATCAGAAATCAGAATTAAAAAAATGCTTATGATAAATATACACGTGGAGCGTCAAATAAACAAGCAGCTATGTGGAATGTGATTAAAGCCAATGATGTGGAATCATCAAAATCACATTCGTCTACTCTCAACGCGAATGATTTAAACTCTTTCTTCGTCAGCATTGCTGAAATCATTATTGCTGAAATTCCAGCTACCCGGCCGAACCTCAAAGATTTTATACAGACTAGTGATATACTACATTTCAACTTTCGAACTGTTTCATTCAATGATGTTCGAGATTCAATCAAAAGCTTAAAGAATTCTAAAAGTAAAGATCCTTATGACATCGACGTTAAAATTATGAAGACCTTAAATAACTTGATAGTATATCCTATAACAAAATTGATAAACATGTGTATAGGAAATAATGTCTTTCCTGCCTTATTAAAACTTGCAAAGATTCTTCCACTCTTCAAGAAAGGATGTGAAAATGAGCCATGTAATTTCAGACCCATTTCTATAATACCAATTATAGCAAAAATTTTCGAAATACTTTTGAAGAATCAGATATGTGAATACTAAAGGTAACAATTTATTCTGTAACAACCAGTTTCGATACCGTACCAACAGATCAAGGAAAGCAGCAGTAAACGATTTTATCAGTTTCATCAACAAATGTCTGGAAGATAACATGTTTGCTCTCGCTAACTTCTATGATCTTACAAAAGCATTTGATTGTGTCCAACATCACATTTTGATTCAAAAGCTGTCGGTATATGGTTTTAGTAATAACAGCCTGTCCTTAATTGCGTCTTATTCATCAGACACAAGACAGTATGTTAGTTTTCAAAATTGTTTATCCAACAATGTACATATTAAGTACGGAGTTCCTCAAGGAAGTGTCTTGGGACCGATTCTTTTTTTGATTTACATCAATGATCTGCCAAACTGTAGCATCAATCAATATATATTATCTGCGGATGACACGACATCAATATCCTCCAATAGTAACTTTGACCATGTGTTACTCGACTCTCAGCAGCATTTTGACAACATTCAAAACTGGTTTAATGCCAACAGTTTGTCAATCAACATAGCGACAACTCAATCTCGTCTACTCAGTACTCGTCCACATAAAAGTAATTTAGTAGAACCCGTGAAATTTCTTGGAGTGATTATTGATGCAAGCTTAACTTGGGAATCACATATCACCTCTTTATCAAAGAAGTTATCTGAAATAATATATATGATACATAGTTTAAATACCTACGTACTGAAATCGACTTTAATGACAGCCTATTATGCTTACTTCCAATCTAACTTGCAATACTGCATACTCATTTGGGGTCATTCATGTCATGTATCGAAGGTGTTTGCTGTTCAGAGACGATGCTTGAGAATAATAGCAAACTTATAGTTCAGGCAGCGTTGCAAGACGACCTAAAAACTTTAACTGTACCATGCATATACAGGGTGTTTCAGTTTATTGTTGCATAACTTTAAGATTCGATAGAACCTTTAAAATTAATGCATAAAGTCTATATAAATATGGGTCGAAAAATGCGTGGCTTCCGAAATACAGGGTGTTTAAATTTACTTTCTAAAATAGCTTTTTTTTAAAATATTTCGAACAATATTTGATGTATAACAGTGAAAATTGGTATACGAGGGTTTTTGGTACGACAAAACGAACCATGGGCATAGTTTTACTGTAGCCGCTAGAGGGCGCTCTCTAATGTACCTGTAGTGTATTAAAATGACCGAAAAAATTTACTTAGTGCAATTTTTTGTTTTTTGAATAAAAAAAACTGATTCTCCGCACTTTTCAACATAAAAAAGCTCTCTTGTGAATTTTCGTTATAGTTAACCGTTTTTGAGATATTTCGATTTTTAAGGTTCGATGCATTTTTAATTATTTTTGATAAAATAACGTTAAAAAGTCAGTATCTCGATAATTTTTAGAAGTAGGCTGTGCCTGCAAATATTTTTGAAATTGAAAGTATGCAGTTCGGGAAAGAAATTTTCAGCATGAATTTAGTGTGAACGTGTGGGTTGGTATCTACCGTAATGGAGTATTTGGACCCTACCTTTTGCCTGCAAGGTTAAATGCTGCTACCTTCTTGGAATTTTTAAAGGCTGAACATGCAAATATGTGGGATGATGTTATGTTAGATTTAAGAAGATTGGCCTGGTTCCAGCTTGATGGTTGTCCAGCTCATTATTCGAGAATAGTTAGAAACTGGACGAAAATTATCCAGAAAGATGGATCGGCCGTGGAGGACCAGTCGCCTGGCCTCCACGATCCACTGACCTAAATCCATTAGATTTCTTTGTGTGGGGATTTCTAAAAGAAAAAGTGTACCAGACTCCCGTAAGGACAAGAGATATGCTAATGACAGAATCAGGAATGCATGTGATGAAATAAGGCCTTATTTGAATAATGCTATACCACGTTCGATCATTCGTAGATGTGAATTGTGTATTGAACAATTGGGTTTACATTTCAAGCAACTACTTTAGGTTTTGTATGTTTGTCCTGACTATCCAATAGCATTTTAGTTGTAAATAATCAATTTAATTTGTTAAAAATAATATTGAAAAATTAAACAAATTAATATTCTGTTTTTTTGTGTTTATGTGGAGTTAGGAATTATTGCTGTGTTTAAAAACACGATCTAAACGATCATCTTAATTACTTGTAATGTCCAAATCGAAAATGTAAAAAAAAATATTATTTTCCCATGAATAATTAAAAATGCATCGAACTTTAAAAATCGAAATATCTCAAAAACGGATAACTATAACGAAAACTCACAGGAGAGCTTTTTTATGTCGAAAAGTGGGAAGAATCAGTTTTTTTATTCAAAAAGCAAAATATTACACTAAGAAAAATTTTTCGGTCATTTTGATACACTACAGGTACAGTAGAGAGCACCCTCTAGCGGCTACAGTAAAACTATGCCCGTGGTTCGTTTTGTCGTACCAAAAAACCCTCGTATACCAATTTTCACTGTTATACATCAAATATTGTTCGAAATATTTAAAAAAAAACTATTTTAGAAAGCAAATTTAAACACCCTGTATTTCGGAAGCCACGCATTTTTCGACCCATGTTTATATAGACTTTATGCATTAATTTTAAAAGTTCTATCGCTTAAAGTTATGCAACAATAAACTGAAACACCCTGTATATACTGGAATGTCTCATACGTTAAAAATAACTACGATGATTACAGAACTCCGAAAGAGATTCACAAAAAAATACAAGGTTCAACAACGAATTAATACCAAGACTATCAAAAACTAGAAACGGAAGTAATTATTTCGGCGTGAAATTTTTTAACGCGCCTCCCAGGTTTTGTCAAACACTCAATTCAAACATTTTTAAATCAACTGTGAAGAGATATCCAGTGACGAAAGCTTTTTACAACATAGATAAGTTTTTAAATAATGATTTTACCGACTTTGTTCCATAATTGTTGACTATTTGTGTTATTACTTTGTTTTCGTTTGTGTTTTTTGTGAATGTGTTATTTTTATATTACATTTCATTGTTCTCCAGACGTGTGGAAGGACCTTTGAGTACAAACATGAAAAAATTATTACTATTTCATAATTTCTTAACCATCTTATTTTATTGTTCATCTAAATTTTAAACTAGGTTTTATCAAGTTTTTTTTTACCTTTCATTGCCACTTTGTGTTTTACGTTTGTCTTATTTCCGTATTGTTTGTTATTTTCACTTACACTTTTATGTTCTACTCTAACTGACCTGTGCAAACACATTTTTGTGTAACAGTACCAATAAATTATTATTATTATTATTCCGACCGAATAGTAGCTGCACTTTTCGAATTAAACTTTCACCACTTTGATAATAATTTTTAACAATTAGGATGTGCAATGATTTATTTTCATAAACTTCCGCATGTCTACTATCATCTGTCATGTCACAATCATTATGACATTATGAATGCCAAAATGGCGCTATATTCAAATATTGCGTTCTTATTGATACACGCTTTATTACCGGTAGCTTCACCGGTCTATAAAAAAAGTATTGCTGTTGGTTCCACTGAACTCTTGCATGTATTTTCCTCTGCTTAACACTAACTTGAGGTCAGAGTTTGGGGTCGATGGACACATTGTATAAAAAATCCATAAAAACGATAGAGATCATATCATAGTGATTTTTATGTGATAATATCTTTGTTCATCGTCCGGCTATGTTTATATTCGAATGATCTGTGTAATAGCTCCTGTGTCGAGGGCATACTCGGCTGTACTTTCCGATAATCGTCTATGATCGCCTTCGACCCGTGAGTTGTCGGTTTTTCGGACACGCTTCATTGTGAATCGCCGGGTCATATTGACAAACTACTACTGACGCTCGTGTTGATGCTTGCACGATGATCGTACCGATTATGAACGATCACACGATCAGCGATCATCGCCTTTAGTGAAGTGCAGGCATGATGGACTTCTGCTTCGCCTTTTGCTTCCCACGCCTACCTGCTAGGAAGCATTGTAATCGCGAAAATGAGACATATTATTTAGATTTCATATGACACGTACATCACGAAGAACCATGTCAATCATTTCCATCGGTCTGTCTGTCGATCTGTCCGCAAATGGTTGATCCGTCTGTAACTTAGAAAGTACCGCTGGGATTTGGAAGAAATTGTCACACAAGGTTACTGCAGCGCCAAGGACGAAAAAGCTTTTTTTCGAAAATTCGTCCAGTTAAAAATATAAAAATCGTATAAGCCTCGTTCTTTGTCGTATCATAGGATCCTAATCACTTCTTTTTTCCGATGCTAGTATATTACTCGTAATTCACTTCCAGCCCCGGTAATACTACGCACCTATTAGAAATATTTGATGCTTCATAGATTTGCCCGTACATTTGCCCTTTAAAAACATACATATTTATGCAGACGGTCGCACTGGGGTTGTAAAAATATTTGATGGTGTATACGAGGGATTTCTAAGAGCAGGTAGCAGACGTGGTATACACATACGAGATGAGCGCGATATTATCTAAAGATACGACCTTTATGCTTGGAATGTAATTTAATGAGGTTACTTGATTCCGTGAGGTAATATTATTTAGTATATGCAGGGTGTCAGGAAAATAATACTCGTAACTTTAAGAGGTGATTCCTGGCATTATTCTAAGCAAAAAATTTCATTATAACCTATATCCGAAAATCAACTGTTTAGGAGTAAAAATGTGCTGAAGTTATTTTTTTTTTAGTCATGAAATAAATTAATTTTGCACCTTAATAATTTAAATTCATTTGCCTAATAGCGTAAAATGTATCAGTACATCTATTTGTCAATTGACTGTCTCAAACAAAACAATTTTCTTGCTTATTAAATACAATTTTCCGAAGAAAAGCCGACCAGCAAAATCCCTCACACAACTAGAAACGTCGTACTCCACCTGCGCTGTGTCGGTAGGTAAAAAAATAAATACCTACACCGGGAAAAACATTCTTTGATAGTTTCTCTCACATCTTATTATTCAGGATGTGTTACTATATCAGTGCGTGCATTTTGATACGAAAGAGATGTTTTCGGTACGCGAGTATCACGATATCCTGGTCGGTCCTTGTGATAACGTATGTGTACAAAATTTCAAATGGGATTTACAAACGAGCATTTGCTAGCAGAATATTTTTTTATAGACAAAAAGCTGCCGTCTAGTATTAAAAACGGTAACGCGTAACTTGAGCTC